TGCTTTTTTTTTTTTTTTTTCTTGCCACAAATTGCCAGCATAGATATAAACCTAGAGTAACTATTCGGTTTTTTCCAGTAGTAAAACATCACATGCCTCTTATTCACACGTTCAATGATCTAGCCATGCACTCTGTCCTTGCAATCTCCTGCCCAGTGGAAGCATGTTCGTGGTTTGAGAGAGTTCCAGTACTCTGGACTATTCCTTGCACTCCGTCTGATCTAGTAAAGCCGAATGGCTCATCCTATGTCATCAATAACTGCACTGTTTATGTATTAAGACAAGATCGCCACGTTATCAGGAACGTACTTGAGTTATCTAGGTGCTGATCGTGTAGCGATCGGAAGATTGGTGTTGTTCAGTTTGGTGGTTGTGGCATCGATTCCGTGGACATGCAAGTATGACCGGCCTCACCCATCGTCATTACAATTGCATGTCTCAATTCAACTACCCTGGCTATGAGTTTACTAAAACTACCGAAGTTAGTGTAAGTTAGGACAATAGCTGCATAGGAAAGATCCCGTTCCTGCCACGTGCTCGTGAAGCCAGCACACCTTCTTACAGGAGGACAGGCACCATCTGGTGCAGCAGTAAGGCTATTTTTCGGTGCTGCCATAGTCCAGATAGCCACAGTAAGTATTCTTTCCCAGCGCCCTGTGCAACGCCTGTCGCGAGCTGTCTCCAAGCACTATTTGTTCTCTGTACACTACACCATCTAGCCACTGTCCAAGATTGGTGATGTATTCTTACGCTCATATAGATGTTGTATCATCTAATAACCTCTACGTTTGGGTTGTTCCACCCACAATTGTCACTCACGGCTGAACTCCTTGATGACGACTTCACCCTACTTTCAGTCGGAACAATGCAGTCTGCGTCGTTACTGCTGTATGCAGAGCATAAACGCAGATCATCCTCTGCTCCATGGCCTGACCGCCGAGGTCCTAGTGCTTTGAATCTGTGCAAAAGTCAGGGCAGGGATAAACAAAACCTGCCACTCACACGGTAAGGTCCGGTGCGAGTGTGTGGAAGGGAAATTGAATAGCCTCTTTACGCATCCTTTAGGCATATTTTGTGCGGTGAAATGTATTGTGCATTTGATAGGTCTCCATCAAACGCATATAGCCATCTGCCACAATTCGCGGCTTCAAGCTTGTCGACAACGTAACGACGTCCTTTTTCTGCACGTTCTTCTTGTGTCCACGCTTCGCCTTGTGTCAGACACCCCCACGGAGGAGTGTCTATGTCGTCTCATCTGAGAATCTCCGGGTGAATAATCCGTATCCACCACATCTTAATGTTTTACTAAGTTAAACAACATAAGTAAACTATGTATCTAACAGTGTTTGTTTTAACTACTCTTACTAAAGCAACCTCTACTTGCGCTATGAATTAGACTAATGAATTCTTACGGCCTGTTCAACCTATGTTAGTTAGTCAGTCTCAACCCACCAAATTCGCGACAGAAATAGATAAAATTGCTTCCACAATCATACGTCCACCCAGAGTATCACATTACCTCCTTGCACGACACTACCCCAGGCAACGCTGCTTTGAGCTTCCCCCTTCTTCGCACCGAATGGCATTCCGTTGAGGGAGTTTGCTTACAGTGTGTGTGCACATCTATGCACGGGCCGTCCGGAGGTTCTCTAGTACAAGCCGCCTCTGACACCTCTCGCGGCCCCTGAATGCGCTGCCTCACGCTGCACTCCTGCCGCTCCCTTCTAGGGTTTCACAACTAACCTGCACTACGTCCGCACCCCTACGTCGCACTACCTTACCCCCGTCGGCCCCCTGTCCCGCTCGCAGCTTCGAGCGTCCGAGGCTGCGAATTCTAGCCTGTGCCCGTTAACATCACCGTCCCACTCCCAGCGTCTCACGCTCTTCCCAGAACGCATAAGACGACCGACACCAGTCTGGTAGCGCTTTGCCCCCGCCGCCTCCCACGAGGCCACGAAAAATTGGTGCCTGCCACCACTCGCTCCACAAACCTTGTTATTAATCCTGGCATCCTATGTAATTGCGAGTACTTACGAAATTAGAACCACTCCCGTGAGCACGTTTCGTTGTGTTACAGCTTGTACCTGAAGTACAATACAACATGCATCTGCTAGCGCAACGTCTAAAGATGACTTTTCTACTGACCTAATGGCTAGTTTTAATTTTTGCGACGCTAGCACTAGCGTGCATGTAGCACCGGAGCAACGGAACTGTCTCGCACTGAACAGAGGCAATAGGTTCTTTCCGAGAGACGCAAAGAAACATCGGCCTCTCTCCGCCGTGAAGTGCTCGGTGAGTGGGAGCTCGGCGCCTTACTGCGCGCACGACAGTCCCTCTGCACAGAATCTGTGTGTAATGAGGCTCTAGTGCACTGGTGGTGCATAAAACAGTGCAGCCACAGCTAGTCGCCCCGCTTCGGCGCTGTCTAATCAGAAGCTATATAAAATTCCAGCCCTCAAAGCACAGAAAAGTATGAATAGGCTTTTTTCCCAGGAACGAGACCTACACGTTGTACACACGCAAGCAGGCCAGCTCCTTATTTCCTACCATACATCATGTCGGAGATAGATGCAAAGTTTGGCAGAATTCAAATATAGATAACAACATGTATCTATTTCAAAGGTCGGTTCCTGAAATATGACGTGTTCTTTAAAGGAGGACTCGACTTCAATTAAATTATGCTTGTCGGTAAAGTGCGATGAAAGGCGTCCCTCTCTGTGTGGCGCACGCCGATTTACGTTGCGTCCTTAATTTACTACTATACTAAAACAAGGGTTTTGTGCCTGCGTTTTGGTCGCTGATCACACGGTTGTTATGTACCCCGATGTAACGCCAACATTAAAATGAGTGTTTAATGTTACTGTAATAGGTATCCAAAGAAACTACAGTTGTGAAACCTCTCTTGGGGTGCTCGGTCTGTGCATTAGGGTTTGGCGTCCGGCATTCACTCTGCTTCTCGTTCCTCTCAGACGTCTTTACTATCTTGAAGAAACTTTATATTCTATTCTCATATTTCTCCATATACGCTGTGGAAACACGGAACCAGCCTACTCTGCCTGACGAGGAGACGATGGGGATGGAGTGGACGTTCTGATGCATTTACGCACGATTCGACCTGTCCCAGTGGATCACTCTGCAAGAATGAAGTGAATCGCGTGGGAGCCAACAGGCGTGTGTGAGTCCCAAGCTAATGACGCCGGTATGCATCTCTCTCGTTCCTGGATCGCTGGACCCACGAGCGTGCTCTCGTTCCTCTGGCAAAAGTAGACGCAAATGTTCTACCTTTTACGCCGGTGCAAGCTCTCGGGACTCTCACCTCGGACGATGCACGCAAGGTGTCAGCGTTCGCCTGCTAGCTGCTCCGATCCTTTCTTCTCACTCTCTCTTTCTCGGCTTGATATGCCACCTACATGCGCATATCGCCTCGCCTGTCAGGCCAATCAACCCACGGTGCTTGTGTTGGATACATGAGCGAGGTGGGTCCGAAGCAGCGCAGATTCAGCTTGTGGGTAATTGGTGGTTGCCTCTCGCGAAGTCCTCCTCCCTTATGAGAGGTTGCCGGGTCGAGCTCTTCAGCCGCCCCACGCGCCGGCAAGCTGACGATCACGCACGCGCCCGGTGTGGTACGGGCCGTACAACTAAAGATTGTGAAGACTATCACGTTCGTGTGGAGCACGGGTAAATACTACGCTTTCTAGGATGTTTTGGGGTGCGGACTGCGTTCACACCGCGACCTAAACGCACCAGGGGTTAGGAGGGATGTTTCTGTAAGCAGCAGAGCCAGTTCGATTCAAACGGGCAGCGTGCAGGAACGAGGATCCTTGTGTAATACTGAACCCTCAAAAGTAGTTTAATTACGTTTGATTCTATTGTATCGAGATGCAGACTTTCTCCTCACAGTGTACGCTAGTCATCTCCAAGCATTTCTAGAGGCTCA